GAAAGAGTGAAATGATGTCAAGAAGCCACACAACTATGAACATAGCAAAACATTTTGAAAAAATATGCTCAAAAACCCCATGATGCCACTAAAACTTACTCATGATGCAAGCTCAAGAAGTGATCTTGAAAAGATACTTTTAGACTAAATTGCATTTCAAGAACATACGCTATTTACATGTATGGAAGAAAATACAGAGAAAGATGGAAAAGGTGCAGTGAAGGAACTTCTCCTGTGCAAGAAAAGTTGTACTGGTCTACATTAATTTGTGAAAATACCAACCTTACCTGCTCTAATTAGCATCACATTTTTTTCAGATGGGTCTAGACACATGGAAGATGTAATTGGTACCTAACCACTTGTGAATATTACCATTTTTTTCAGTTCCTGAAGCTTTTACATTTTTTTCCCCAAATACATAACTGCACAGAAAAAAGCAGTGGTTTTAACTTCTTTCTACCCAATTCTGTGGAAAACATGGTGCTATATGCTGTCTTCTGATTGACTAAAAGCTTGGTAACGTGTCAAGATAATGATCAAGAATCAAGAAAACTATAAATAAATGCAAAAAATATACGAAAAGATAGACAGAAGAAGATATAACTGAGGGAGGGAAGAGAAGTGTAGGAGCATTTGCCCATCCTGAGTTTTATTCATCTAGAATAGCTGCACCAGGCTAACAACACACGTAATTTCAACAGTCCTAGGAAAAGTGTCTGCCACTGGAGTTATGCAGGCACAGCTCTTTCAGCAGTGCTGCCTAGCAGAAATGTAGTGTTGGCTCTCAGAGAAATTTTTCTGTTGACATAAGTTACAGAATTCTGGCAAAATGTAGTTAAGCTGGTTCAAACAAATAAACAAAGCCTTTTTGCATTTTGAGTTTTCTTTGACACTGAGAAATGGGATTTTTTTTCCTTTCCACACCTCCCCTTTTACACTTGCAGGCAGCATTTAGGACCAGTTATCGTCTGACATGCCTAGGCTGAATTAAAACAATACAACGTGTCCGAGACCATTATTGTTACTTTACTTGTTTCAATTCAAGCGGATCTGCCTCCCACTCCGTTTAGGCCAAAATTTAGATTGATTTGACAACACAAAGAATTGCCAGGTAAAGTATGCCACCTAAACATGTGACAAATATAATGTCTGCCTCCTCTCCTCCTTAAGCAATTATGACAATAAAAATCCTAATACAGGTGCAACTGTGCTGACAGAAGACTAGGGAGTCTTTTCAGTTTAGCTAATTATGCACAGAAAGTGGCAGAAGAACTCCTTTGGCTGGCGTATGCTTCATGTATCCCAAGAGAGCTGAGCCAATACAGCTGTCCTGGAAGAAACACTGCAGCATCAGCGTCAGCTAAACCAAAACCCACAACTTAACCAAAGTGATCAAACCTAACACCAAAACAAGCTCTGAATTCTATTTTTTTCATTAAAGTAGAATGGAGCTTTTTCAGCATGGGAACTGTTTGCATTCAGAGTGATCAGCAAAACCAGCATCATACCAGATCTTTTCTCATCTTTCCATCACCACATGGCTCAGAACAGCATGTACAATATCAGTATTTGTTTCTTTATTATAATTTGCAGTTCAACAGAGACTTTACATACATTCCTAAAGGCAGCCATAAGTAAACTCACTGTGAAGTGCTGACCATGCCTTAATCCTTGTTTTCCCAATGCAGTGAGATCTGCAGAATTGTCGCTCTCTACAGCAAACAACATCCTGAAAGTACTTGCAAGGATCTCTGAGTGTCTCTCCAGCAAATAAAGCCCTCACCGTAACTCACTGAAGAGCCTTAGGCTTTCATTTCCAGACTGTACATATGCAGGCACAGCTCAAGCCAGGAGGGTAACAGGAGAGGACAGTTTTCTGCCCTTTGGCTTCCATTTCTTACTCCCAGGCACAAAGCTGCCACCAGTGGAGCCCACCAGTTTCCTTTCAGCTCTTCAGCCTCAGACTGCGGGGATTACAAAGAAGCTGCCTGTGATACTGCATGTTGTGCCTCGGCTCTAAGGATGAAAAAAGACCAGGTGTAAAGTTCCTCTTCATTGGCCTGCCCCCATAATGTGATGCTTCTTACTTTTAAATGCTGTTTTTTCCTAAACTGATTCAGGGTCAGGAAAAGGGTTAAACTGTTATTAGCTACACCATAACTGAATTACAATTCAGACACAGCCAAATCCAAACTACACTTCAACAGAAAACATACAGATTCAATACCAATG